GTAGTAGTAGTAGTAGTAGTAGTAGTAGTAGTAGTAGTAGTAGTAGTAGTAGTAGTAGTAGTAGTAGTAGTAGTAGTAGTAGTAGTGGTAGTGGTAGTGGTAGTGGTAGTGGTAGTGGTGGTGGTAGTAGTGGTAGTGGTAGTGGTAGTGGTAGTAGTAATAGTAGTGTTTGTAGTGGTGGTGGTGGTGGTGGTGGTGGTGGTGGTGGTGGTGGTGGTGGTGGTTGGAGTAGTAGCTGCGCTGCTGTTGCTGCTGTAGAAGCAGACACAACAACAATCAAAACATAGAGCTCATTTCCTAGTGCTATGTAGCAAGGACCTGCCGTTGAGCCCCATGTTGACGATGCTGGCTGCAAGGCCGGGGTACGACATCTTGCCTGTCGCCCTCCAAGCGGGACACCATGGGAGTGCAGTTTCTGCAGACTTCGAAGAATTGCACTTCCACTTCCAATGGTTTGGAAACTGTTCTAATTGTGCCATGATTCAACCACGAGACCAGTACTCCCTAGGGCCCCAATGGCCTCAACAGTCTTCTCAAGTCCTGGTCTGCCACCTATATCTACCTATACACTTTCACAGCCCAGGGCCAACTCAAAGGTAGCAGGAAGCGAGGAAGTGGGAGCTGAGCATCACCAAGCCGACCATGCGCGCACCCAACGTCGTTGATGATGAAGCATCGCTTGGAATGGCGGATGTCGTCGTTGGACTGGTCACCACCGTCGTCTTGCCGGTGACCTGAAGGATTAGCCAGCGCAGGTACGAGACGAACACACATTGGTGGGAACTGTCAAAGGCAAAAATAAACCGCTAATTCCCAATCCCGAAACCCGGAGACTCGTAGCACATTTGAACCTTTCATGGGGGACAATTAGGAAGAAAATCCCCTGCCTGGATGGTGCCTGTGAATCCAGCGTCTGTGACTTTCTGGGCGATGGCAGTGTTGGTGGCCGAAACAGAGACAGCATCGAGGGCGGTCTTCGTCTGCTCAGCGGCAGCAACATTGGGGAGGGTCACCTTGAAGATGGCGACAAGAGTGACCTGAAGCTTCCTCGCCTGAAGCCGCCGAGACTGCTCGAACTCAAGTGTCACCTGAGATGCATCCACTCCCATCAGCTCTGCGAAACCTTGGATCATGGCATTGGTCAAGGTGGTGTTCTCGGTAACCGTGGCGGGGTCATCAACGGTGAGCTGGACAGTGACCTCCACGACCGTGGGCACAGCTGCTGTAGTTGTCCCACCTTCGGAATCAGTAGTATTCCGCTATAGTTACTGCCAGAGAGAGAGGGAGCGCGAGAGAGAGAGAGAGAGAGAGAGAGAGAGAGCGAGAGCGGGCGAGAGAGAGAGGGAGAGGGAGAGAGAGGGAGAGGGAGGGAGCTGGAGAGAGATAAAGCGAATAACAACTATATGCATATCTCTAATGCACACAGCATTCGGTGCACGATAGCTACACTGAGTATGCAGCAACGTGCTCCAGTACAGCTATTCAGCAACTTGTTGAGCCCCGCCTGCAGCGGTGGTCGTAGTGGTTGCAGCCTCAGTTGAACAAGGCGCCTGCAATCTCGTAGCCCAGCAACCCTCAACCAATCCTGAACCACTGAATTCCCAGCCTGGACAGAAGCCGAAAACAAGGTAGACGAACCTTGTGAGCACCTTCAACCCCAAGAATCCCAAAACTCCCAGGCACCCAGCATCCCAAGCCCGCAAGACGTCTCGACACCCCATCTGAGTACCCACATCTCGTAAAGCTTCATGCCCGGGGGCCGTGGTGGTGGTAGTGGTAGTGGTGGTAGTGGTGGTTGTGGTGGTGGTGGTGGTGGTGGTCGTTGTCGTGGTGGTGGTAATGGCCCGCATTTCCACCCCAATGTGCATGTACCTCCAGTTGTCGTAGGGGGAATCTTGACAGCCAACGGAAAAGGTGTCGTTCTCGATCACAGTGCCACTGCATGTCAGGCCACTGTACTTCACGTCCATAACGAACTGCCCGTCGCTGCTAAGATAAGAGATCGACGATGTGTCGTCTTCACCTTCCCGTTGCCGCTTTTCGCAATCGTTAAACTCCTTTGAGGTTCCGGTTGCGCTCCCATGGACGGTTCCTGCACAGGGCGCCGCGTCCTTGAGGAAGTATTTGCGAATCCAAGCTACGGGCTCATAGTCGACATTCGGATCTGCCACGGCAAGAGAACGGCAGGGAGAGAAGAGAAGAACTCTACAGCACATCATGGCAGACTGTGGTACCACATACAAGACTGCAGGGAAGCACCGGGAAAGGCGCCTGTACCATGCTGATAAGCCCATCCTTTCCACCCCCTTCCCCCCCTTCGCCTAAGGTGGTGGTCGTGGTTGTTTCGCCCTTAGTTTGCAAAGGAACTTCGGTGCGAACATACCACGACACATCTTCTCAAGAATGTCTAGAGATATGAGAAAACGAGCGGGGACGATTTCAACAGCAACCTAGGAGGTTTTTCGACCAGAAGCACCCGCAAAAAACTGGGTCAGGGCCTAAACTCTAACCCTCAGACCCGAAAGCCTCGACCAACACAGAGAATAGGAGCCGAAGCTTCAACGTCCACAACTGGAACCGCGGCACGTCGAAGTATGTGTATAGACTCTACGGGACTCAGTGCAGTTCCTGGGCAAAGCTCAGCTGCAACCGAGCCTCGGTGGTGGTGGTGGTGGTGGTGGTGGTGGTGGTGGTAGTTGTGGTCGTGGTGGTTGTAGTTGGTGAGGGATCCATCCAAATAAGGTTGTTACCAACAGCAGCCATCATGCTGCCGTCGGATGACATGGCCACATCACGCCAATCCTTCGAGGCCTGCGGTCATAGGGATGTACTGTGGTGAATGTGGGTTGAGTGTACGCCATGGATAACTAGCCCATAACGGCATTACAAATCCTTGGTTTAGTCATTGTTGCATGTTCTTGGCCCGGAGACCATTGTGAGTGTAGTGTTTGTCATTATGGCACTACTACAATCGGTGATGAAGATGGCCTACGGAAGCTTTGCTGCCAACATCTGGATCCTGAGATTGAGGTAAATACCTCTGCCACTTCATTTTTGCTTGGGATCGGTCTTGGAGCATGGGATGCACCACCCTCTAAGGTTCTAGAAGGTACATGCCGCCTTCCTGAGGACATAGTGGTGAGAACGAAGAGCCCACCGTGTGAACAGCCCCAAAGGCCAAAAGACCGGAGCCCTTGACGCAGGCGCACTCCGAGCACACTTGGCATTAAGCAGACTTTGATGTTCAACACCAAGCGTACTGAGGACTTTGACGTCAAGTGCAGTTGAGAACTTTAGCATCCATCTTTACGTGCATGTGCGATGACAAGAAGCGACATCAGAAGCGCTAAATCACTAAATGCAGGCGAGAACATGAAGTTGTTCGGCATCAAGTTCATGTACGAACACAAAAGGGCACATCAAGCGCGAGCATGCACCAAGAAAACAGAAATGGGCCCGGAATTGTGTTGGATGTTTTTTAAGGTTTGTGCTTTTCTAGGGCTTAGGGTTTGCTCTGAATTTGTACTAGGAGAACCTCTATTTGAGTTTTTCCTATCCAAAAAGGACAACCTCCAGTCTTTTGGCAATACTTCGGTGCTATGCACCCTCCAACCCCCCCCCGCTTTGCAAACCCCCCCACTCGGTTAAGCCGCGCAAGCTTGTTCAGAATCCTTTCCAGCATTTGTTTGCAAATGGGGGTGGCTGCCCTTTTCATAACATCCCGGCCCCCCAAACCCCTTGGCCCTTAAAGCCCCCGGCGGGCTGCGCCCCCTCCAACCCCCAGCCTCAGACCCCCAACCTCAAAACGAGAACCCTTCTGCAACGTATGCGGGACACCACGAAGGCAGGAAGCCAAGAAGCCAAAGAACCAAGAGCCGGAAGTCAAAGCCGGGAACCAGAAGCCGGAGAACCGCAAAAGACAAAAACTGATAACCGACAAGCAGAAATAGTACTGTTCCTACCAAAACTTTCGAGAACAAAAAGAAAAACATAGATTCCTCGACAAAATCACCTCCAATAGAAATTGGCTCCAACACACGATGGGAAATAAACGCTTTGCATCAAGCATCAAAGCAAAAAGCGTTTCAATGACAATTGAGACCCAGCACGCCCATTCCAATGACATCGAATGACACCGATGAAAGACGCCTGCCAAGCTTTAGAGCGGCTTCTTCGCGCGGCTTAGTCAGCTCACGAGTGCAGTGCCCAGTCAACGAAACGCAGAGATTCCGGCCCCCTGAACACGCACCGACCATGCATCGTTTCTGACGAGTGCACGGACACCATGTGTTTTTTGCCCCCGGCAAAGCGTCGTGTTGTTTTCCACTCTGCCTAAAACGCCTAAATCAGCATTCTGGTGAGTCAGGCTGCTGTTGTGGTGGTCATTCTGTCTTGTGGTGTTGGTGACATAAATGTTGGTGATGGGGTTGGTTCGTGCTGTAAGTTGATGAAGCTTCTTCTTCGTTTGTGTGCGTGGTGGCAGCTGTTGTTGCTGGCTCTTAAAGTAAAAAGAATTCCTCCGTGATGTAGCTCCCACGTGTGGGTTGCTATCTGCACCCGGCAACTCAACATGCAGCCCTCATCGTAGCCACTAGCACCATGGTTCCCACCTCAGCAGTTGAGTCGGCAATAATGGACCACGTGGCACCGCCATCGGAGCTCGAATAAAGGCTTTGGCTGCCTCGACTGGCAACAGAAGCCCTTGAAAATTGTTTGTATAAGAACAAGCTACATACATACCGTTACATACCTGTGTCTCGAAGTAGGTTCTCAAACAATAACGCGAATCGAACATCATTCCCTCTAGTCGTTCTGTGTTCCCTGCATAAATGACCACAAGTTGCTCATGGAACGGAATCCCTTGTATCAACCACTCGTGAAATTCCTCTACAGTTCTTTTCCAATAAGGGCCATCCAAGCAGCTGTTCCCATCAGTCCCTGCGACGATCAACTTGCCTCCATTTGAGGACATGGCCACGGCCTTGCACATCATCGGGCTGCCTGCTTCTGCTGTTGACCACAGCTCAGACCATATCTGCGGAAATTCTGGCCATTTAAGGCTTCTTAATCTATCGATACTCCCGGCCAACGCGGCCTAAGAAGAACCCGACAACAAGGACTAAAAAAATTGGGATATTGCATCTTGATAACAGCCGGCAAGCTGCCCGAGGTGGACACTTCGGTCCAGCTGGCACCCGCGTTTGAGGATGTCCAGACGACTATTTGGTCAGCCGCTAATGCAATCGCGGTGCCATCCTTAGAGCAACAAAGTATTCCTTCAAAAGACAAAGCAGCGTTAAAACCGTTTTACAACGTAGAACGTGGTCAGACAGCACCACCGTCACGGCCCCTATAGAAGGTGTGAGCAATAGCATGGGTCTTCATGGCAACATGCAGGCAGCACGGGCCCGTGATCCAATATGTTTTTGCGAAAGCCTTTTCCCTGCAAAGGCATAGAGCCCAAGGCGCGTTCTCACCCATCTCAACTATGCCCACCAAGCTGCTGTGCTGCTGTTGTTGTTATCGTTGTTGCTGCCGCTGTTCCTTTCCCCTACAATAGACTTGGGTGGACACTCTGTGGGATATGGTGTTGGGATATCCGAGGGTGTACTCTCTGTGGGTTCACTGGAATTCTCGGGGGGGGGGGGGGGGGGGGGAGGCACGGGTATTCTGTTGTCTGTGACATTCTCTGCAGCATTTTCTGGGGGTCTTCAAGCTATACGTTGCGACATGACGAGGACAGTGCAGAGCTTGAAAGAAACGAAGTGAATGGTACAAGAATGCCTCGAGCTTTGGTCAAAAGAGCCGCATAGCACATGATTGATGTGCACGTGTGGTCTTGTACCAGAAGTAACGACCTCGATGTCCGGAGCCCTATCCTGCGGCTTTGGGACAGCCGCAGGCCGACAGGGAGGATCAGTTTTTGTCGGCAGCGGTGGGGCACCCAAACGGCCGACCCTCACACTGCTGATTGCACAGCAGAAGCACCTATCACAGCGACCACCACCTTCTCCAGCACAAGCCGGGATGCAAAGCTGCAAACGGCCATCAGCACCAGAGGATTTTAGATATCAACCATCTGAAAGAAGAGTTGTAGGCGCAGAGACCAGAAACACTGGAAGGTCGAGCAGGGCAAGTACATACTTGTAGCAGGAGTTCATGAAGTATGCAAGCGTAGCAGAGAGGGAGAAGGAGAGGGAGAAGGAGAGGGAGAGGGAGAGGGAAAAGGAGAGGGAGAGGGAGAGGGAGAGGGAGAGGGAGAGGGAGAGGGAGAGGGAGTGGAAGAGGGCGCTCCTCAAGACGTACGCTGTTTTTCATAGAGGGACTCTCTTCGAGACATTCGTTGGACAAGGGAGGAGCCGAGATTCCTTCGAGCATTCCTCGTTTTGGGACGATGAGGCTCGTTGCTCGCAAGAACCCCTTGGTAACCTTAGTAGGTCATCTGCCTCATACTAGAAGCATTCTGGCCCTCTGCGACCGCCACTGCAAAGCAGATGCAGACTGCCTGCCGTGGTGGTCGAGTCGAAGGGCAACTGTCTTTCTGCAGCAGCAAAAACAACGAAAAATTGCCATTGAATCGGCCATATTCATGAAATTCATGATCTTTCTATCCCCCCAATACTCCAAATGTCGTAGGATCATCTCAATTCAGGAGCTATATTCCAAGCTACCCAGACTGGGGCATGCCCACTAGAGCATGAAGCCTAAAACCTCTAAACTCAACCCAAGGGTCGGATGAGACGGCGACTCGTTCGAAGTTGCTTCGGTTGAGGTTCGCGACCTGCGTGAACGTGGTGCCCGAATCTGAACTAATCCAGAGTCCATCTCCGGTGATGGCCTTACTTGTCCAGCATCCTTGCAAATAGAGGTGTTCTGCTCCCGCCGAAAACAATTAAAACATGAAGTGCTGGACAGCGAGGTGGCAGCCATCGTTGCACCACTTGCTGACATGTCGATGTCCTGCACTGATTGGGGCCCTTGGCTACCTTTAGCTTCAGGCTTAGGATGGGGAGCTCATGGCTCTATATCTGTTCTCCTTCGCAGGAGGTCTACGAGTAGGCTCCCTACGGCAAGGACCACCACACGGACTTGGAGATCCATGGCGTGAGAGTCGTGGGATGAGTTTAGGGTTTGGGGTCGTGGTCTTCTGGAATTCACGAATGCTGCTACAAGGGCTTTTTTGACGATGAACAATGTGGTCTTTGTGCCGCTGCATGCCCACATTTACCAGGCACACTGAGCAGGCTTGGACAATTGGCTGTCTCGTATGCTGCCAGGGTTCATTTGAGGCCGATTAACATGCGAGTCATATGACCCTTAAACGCTAGGCATACGAGATTGAGGCGCTTGTGAGCCAAAACGGAGGCCTTCCAATCGAGGCCGGCTGTCCTTAGACACTGCACGGTTCGGGGAATGAACCCTTTGAACCTGAGGGTTTAGGGCTAAGTTAGGGTTCTTTGTGGGGCTTCGTGAGTAAAACGCAGAGGAGGTCCATTGAAAGTGATCTGGCTCGTGGGCTTGTGTTTCAACTTTACAGGAAAAGTGGGGTGCAAACGTGTGGAACAAAAGGAGTCAAGCGTCCCGTCGGCTGTCGTCCAATTACCACCCATGTCCTGACTGATCGCAATGCCAGCCTCCGTCAGCCTCTGTTATGCAGTTTCTCAACAAGCTTCAAAGATTGGACCGCCTAGGGAAACACCAGAACAGCCCATATGCATCCCAAACCTCTAAACCTCCTACACCTAAACAAGCTAGTTTTTGAGAACACTACCTGTGGACTCCTGTTCTCTCTTACTGAGAAACACCGAGAAACCTGTTCTCTCTTATTCAAAAACCCAAAGAACTGAGTTGAGAAAAGAGCTGGAAAAGAGATGCTGAAATCTCCACAAGAAGGGTCCCGGCAGCTATCGTCATGCCATCGGATGAAATGGCAGGGCTCCCATGGTTCCAATGGCCAAATGAACCTTGACTTGGGTTTTTCCGCGCCGATTCTGGTATGAAATACAGGCGCATGATTCTTGTATCATGAAAAGACGGGTTGTAAAGAACTCGCAGGGGACTCGAAGTGCACACACAATATGCTCGACCAAGTCCTCTGGATGGCTTATCTTCTAAGGTTTGGGGTCAGAATGCTTCTGAACTGCAAACGTGCTTACAGCTTGTCGAAGCCCCGACCCCCTCCCTCCCGCATGTTTGGACGAAATTGAAACAGATTCATTGGGCCACTGAAGCAAATTCTCTTCCGGGGGGGCGGGGTGGGGGCGCGCAGCGCCAGCATTTGCAAACACAGTGCTCTTATGATGGTTTCAGGAATGGACTCGCTTGCATATTCAGGTGCACACACACACACACATCACACACATACTCATACAAATCCTGTTGATGGCTGGAAGTTCTGAAATGAAGGCGGCGGGGGCGGCGGGGGGCGGAGGCCGGCGCAACCCCCCCACCCCTGCCCAATTTGCAAACACAATGCTCATACGGAGTTTGAGCAGGTGGGGTTTCAACAGGGCACCTTTATGGCTGAGGTGGTTCGTAAAAGCACTGGAGCCTCCCTAAAAAGACACCAAGATGGACCTTCTGTGCATGTCTGAGGTTCCTTCTCTTGTCGTCAATGCTTCCCATAACCCCTACGACCGTTTGGCCAAGGTTGAGACGTCAGGTCTACATGTCGAAGAGAAGCAGACTGTGATGGAGCCCCTTGGGCTTAAAGAAAGACTAGGCCAGGCCGGGATCAGTATGCCACGAGTGGATGGCGACCACGTGCTTGCTGATTGTTTGATGAAGTCATGGGGTCTACGACGTCTACGAGTCTACGAGCAGCTTCTGAGATCCTGAGACACAGGTGGGCTGTCGTCTTTGATGCTGAGATGTCAGCAAAGCAAAGGGGACAACTCGAGCGCTCAAACAATCCAGCGGCTGCTGTTGCTGACAAGAAAAGATTGAGACAGCCAACATTAACCTCTTCCGCCAGCCCCTCTCTTTCAAGACTGATCTGCTGTGTGTTCAGGGATTTGACATCGCATTGACTAGATGCCATTCCAAAGGGGGATGGATTTCCTATTTGAGGGGAGGATTTCTCATTCAGAAGGGGGGCAACCACAACTAAGAAATCGAGGACCCAGGCCAATCGTGCTACTTCTTTCAAAAGAATATCGGATGGAACCTCAAATCCGAATTATAGAGAAATCGAGAGTGTGCTCAAAGGTGATTCAGTAGCGAAAACCCGGGCCGCTACCAGCTCGCCGGCACGCCACAGTGAGGCAACGCCGGCTCGTGCACGTGAGAACCCAAGTACATTAAAACTGCTAAATGTCGTTCCCAGCGGGACTCGTATGGCGAACAGGGGCATGGACGCAGCTCCATTCGTACTGGATTTTTGCCTTGGTAATAATAACGTTAGAAAAACAATTATGAAGCAACAGAACAGCAAAAGAGAACATGGGCAAAGAAAGCCACAGCGATACAGACGATGCGAAACTAGACAACACCAACTGCAGCTGCACAGACATTACACACGGAAGCTTCAGGGATTACAGAAGGAGTCGGAAACTAAGGAGAACATATTGCCATGTGGGTTTGGTCCCAAGATGTTTGTGGATTCTATTCTGTGGGTTGCTCAAGCTTGCGGTATGCGGGCTGGATTTCTATATGATTTCATGACACTTAAACTGAGGCCGACACAGCCTGATGGACAAGCTGAGTTCATCGACGGCTTGTTTGTTGTCCAAGCCCACCCGTCTTTCGAACCACCTGCACCGTTGAGCTCCAAGGGCTCCAATGGTTGTTGATGATAGGAAAGAGAGGGCTGAGGGTTTAGGCTGTTCAGGGCTTTCAAGGTTTAGGGCTTGAGACATGTAAACTGCAACAGTTAGTCGGCCATTCCGCTCCACGACGAGGGTTCATGTCTTCAGCTTGCTTTCGGTCTCGTCATAACTTGACGTGCCTGGATTCGTCTCGATTTTGCCCTGCTTGCCCGTGCCGACCAGCAAGCTGCCATCGCCCGACAATGCCATGCCTCTCCTGAAATTGAGGAAGCTTCTAACCCCAAGACCCAGGCACTGGCATGCGCTGTAGGAGGGCTAGGCAACGCGCGGATCCGTGCAAACAAAACGTCACAGCTATTGCTTGAGAGACGTCCACCTAGCCAAGAGCTTCAGTCAAAAACAGAACTTAAGGCTTGAGGGGCAAGCCGAGGCCGACCAGAGTCAGCTAGTCTAAATGTGAGGCTTCTTCTTGCTGCTCGCTGCTCGCTGATGCCTGCTTGCAACTTGCTGCTTGCTTGTTTGCTGCTTGCTTGTTGCTCTGCTTGCTTGTTGCTCTGCTTGCTTGTTGCTCTGCTTGCTTGTTGCTTTGCTTGCTTGTTGCTTGTTTGCTTGTTGCAGCTTGCTTGCCATTGCTTGCTTGTCGCTGCTGCTTGCTGCTTGCTTGTTGCTGCTTGCTTGCTTGTCGCTGCCTGTTAGCTGGCTTTCTTGCTAGCTTGCTTGCTGCTGCTTGCTGCTGGCTTGCTTACTTGGTGTTGTTTGCTTGCTTGTTGCTGATTGCTTGCTGGTTGTTGATGGCTCGCTCGCTGTTGATTGCTTGCTTGTCGTTGCTTGCCTGCTTGCTGCTTGTCGTTGCTGCTTGCTGCTTGTTTTTGCTGTTTGCTGCTTCTTGCTTGTCAAGTCGCTGCTTGTCGTTGCCTGCTGTTGCTTCGTGTTTGCTGCTTCAACCTGCCGTTAATCTCTTTTTAGTGCTTGTGGACGAAATCCAAATTGTTTTCGTCACTATGGACCCCACTTGAAACAATGCAATACTAACCCCCCCCCCTTCCCCTTTCCCTTCCCCCCCATCCTATGATAGAATCAATAGCTTAGCTTGCAACTTTCTGTCCGATCCGCGAATGCTACAAAAAGACTAAAGTCAAGCCCATCTCCGCTAGCCTTCAGTCCGATGAAGAGTTTCGGGTTGGGGGATTGGGGTTCAGGGTTGAGGATTGGGTTTACATCAGGGCTTTGAGAGTCAAGTAGTCGGGTTTGGGGTGCAGTGTGTTTCAAAAACGTAAGACAAGACAGTGCCTTAGAAAAAAAGGGGTACAGCGTACTTCTATTGGCATAACTAATAACAACATAATACTTTCCATGTCTTTCCTAAACCATCAACGCCAAACCAAGGCGCGAAACTCCGCCATAAGGAAGCCTCCACCATTGGAAGCCCATGTCGCGGCTGACATAGCCATAGTTTCCGTCACTAATGGCGACGACCTGGCCATCCTTGGGAGCCACGTCTTCGAGAGGGCCTTTTGGGGTCATTTAGGGGTTTATTCGTCTCCGGACACTTCGGCTCTGAGCCCAGATCATGAACAATGTGACAATTACCGAAACATGCCTTCAGAGAGAGTGCTGATTGCGCTACCTGTCGGCGTTACGGGCGATCGCTAGGGGCGCGTGTCATAAGGGGCCCGACCGGTCCGGCAGTGTGCTATAGAGCTGCTCGGGTGCAACATGGCAGATTACAGCATTTCCTACGTGCCTCTGAAAGATGCTTTCGAAGGTCAGGGTTTCGGGGATAAGGTGGTTGATTGTTTGGGGTGTAGGGATTACGGTGTGGGATTTTGAAGTGGCACGTTGGCGCGCAAAGCACCAGCAGCAGCAACTCTGCCTACTTGCCCCCCCCCCCCTATTCAGACACATAGACTCACATGTAGCGGCTCTCACCTGGCAAGGATACACGACAGCTGGCACACTACCAACATAGCGGCGTTCCGGCAAGAAGGAACAGGCACAGGTGAAGCCCGCGCAGAGGGCATGCTACTAGTATCAATGCCTGAGAATGCTAATTGCATTTTGAGTGCGGGTGTGTAAGCTACTGGCTAGCTCTGTCGTTGCAGCACGGCCTGAGATGTGTTTAAACTACTACGGATCAGCCTTCATATGCACCCCCTTTTACCCCCCCACCACCATCTTTTTCCAACCTCCCAATGGAATCAGCGAGTGAGAGTAATTACCCAACCCGACATGAAAAAAGAGCACCGGGCTTCACCCGCTTACGGGCAATGAAATCATCCTAGATTGCGCTGTGCCGAACCCAACTGAACCAAACAAGGAAAACTGTGTTTCTTGTGGTTGTCCCCCACATCACCGCCCTCACACGACTAAAATATGCTAAAATCTTAAGCAGAGCACCCCCATCCTGAATTGAATGTTCAGTTCATGGTCTTTCGACACACCTTTAGGAAGCCTGCATGGAGCATGTTGGGGGATTGAAGAGGGATATGAAGATCAGGTCCTCCTTGGTTTGTGCTCCGAGGGGCCGCGGACATATCCACTTTCTCCAAAGTCCTGCCTGTAAGCGTCGGCCAAGTACCTTGCTTTTGCGACATGCAGGCAACCAAAGGGCAAAGTTAAAACATCCAAGCAGTTGAAGGTTTGGCTTGGATTGGCGCCCATGTCCACTTGCCCAAACGCGCCGATAACCAGAGAGAGCGAGGCAAACTTCGCGAGCATTTTTGCCATCGTCACCTGCAGTTGGAGGATTTCCCCAAATAGGACAGAGGAACAGCACGCCGACGAAGACATTTTTCTGGCTTGTGACCGGATTGTTCGGGAGTTGGTATGCAGTGGTTGTCTTGCGACGACATAGGGCATGTCAACAATGTACAGGGCAATGTACTACAGGGCAATGTACTGAAAGTCCTCCACTCTGCCTCATTATTTAAGTCTGCTGTGTACAGTCCTGGAGCAGATTTGGGGGCTTTCAGGGTGTAAGGTTGTCATGCGTCTTCGGAAACATGGTCCGTAAATTTTAGCCAAAATTAACCAACCATCCTACAAGCAGGCAACCGAGGTGGCCCCAAGCGCCTACTTTCGGGATTGGAGTCCAGGGATTGGACGCTGCACCCTAAACCCAAAGTACGGGCCCGACCATACCTCAGTCCGAAACACTACTGACAGCTCACGAACCTGCTTGGCCCAAAGGCAATCTGAAACAAAAATGCTGGCAACTGAGGGCTTGAAAATTTAGCGGCTGCAGTGAAACAGCACAGTGTGAACCGCTCAATGGATGAAACCAGGTTTCGAGCGCGTGCAAAGAACCAAGGGTCACGGGAAAAACCACCTGGAAAGGGCTAGTGCTCCCTGATGCCAAAGAAACATCGACTGTTGTCTTGCAAAGCAAGGAGGTAGATTGGCAGCCTAAAGTGGCTTGTCGTAAAAGCTCTGGATTGAGGTCTGCTCTTGTTTAACCAGTGCCGGTTGTCTATCAGGCAGTGGAGAAAACCGCGCAGGCTCGACCCTGTGAAGGCGAAACCCGGGAAAGCTGTGCTAAGCATAGAAAGGGACAGTGGAGAAGACTGAGGAGATTTACGCTAGAATGGATCACTTTGACGCGTGTGAATGGCTTTGGCTGCAAAGCACTGAGAGGACTCTTGGACGTGGTGCCCTCTCCCATTCACTGGACACCACATCAGCCCTTGGAACTCGGAACCAAAACGTCGCTCCAGTGGTCCTCATCGTTTCTTTTGTCTGCTTGGTTGCCTTCATCTGGAAGCCAAAAGCCTGAGAAACCCTCGCTTAGTCACGGACACCATAAGAGCTGCACCAAAATTCTCCCCCATGTTTTGGGACGAGCAGCGTTTGAAAGAGAGGTGTACAGGTCGAGAAGCCAAATTTTGGAGAAAATGCGCTTGCGATGCTTGGAGAAGCTCCCCAGCACGCAGCCCAAAACGAAACCAACTACACATGTCTTTTGGCCTGTCTTAAACCCATTTCTTGCGAGAGTTCGTTCTCAAGCTGCGCCGTCAGATGTCTTCAACTCTAAGGCACCTTAGTTTCAGTGCATGTTCGTGAAAACGTTTTGGGACTGCAACACAATTGAATCGCGAAACTGAAGGCCCTGCCCTAGTTACCATGGTTTCTGACCGAAAGCCTGCGGCTCTGCATACAAGGTAAGTTCCAAAAAACTCGCCTTGTGTTCCGTGTCCGATTTCTCTCCAGTGTTAAAGCCCGTACATATGGAAATTTCCTCAATGCAGCGCAGGTCGTCCACACTCGCACGTTCACTTTTTGTACGTTGCAGGCGAGTGGGCTGCTGATGTTAAGTGCGGTTTATCCTGCTGTTTTGGGCGTTTGCGATGAAGACACGGGGCCAAGGGAAGGACAACAGGAAGACGAAGGGGAGAACTGCCTCATCACAGCAAACGGGCTTGTCACTTTGAACGCACCTGAACATTTCACGATTTGGAAAGTGGCATCTTGACACGACCAGCTGCTACTTTCCATGAAAGCCATGTGCCCAGATGTCAGGATAACAATACAAACAGCTCGCCTAGTACCCTCAGCTGCAGTTTAATTCGGGAGGGGTGGGAAACTTTTCCCTCCGAATAGAGATCCTTGGCTTCTCTTTCCGATTTCGCACGTAGAATGCCTCAATCATACTTATTTGTGCCAGCTTCACGCCTGTAGATACTATTTACATTATTTCCATTTACATAATGCATCATTTACCTTGATGTTCTATATTCTTTCATTTAAAAACCTCATTCTATATTTCATCTCCTTATTTCTCTTGCTATTTATTTCAGCACGAAAATATGATCATGAACTCACAACAAAAAAGACGCAAGCGCTGTTTTTTACACGCTAGGCCGTGGGGCGAAAACGTCATCCTGAAGTGATGCATGTTCTTGCATGTTGCCGCGAACATGCTTCAACTCCCCGAACTCAAATGCATGTGCGGTCACTTCGTCAAAGCAATCGCTGAAGCGCTTGCCAAAGTCAATGCTTGAGACAAGCCCAGCAATTGCGGACAAGCTCAGCAATGGCTTCTCCATAACGGGTTTCAGACTGGCCACAATCATACAAGCTAAAAAAGGCAGCCTCATTGTCAGTGAAGACGGCAACATTTGCTCCACAAATGGGGCTCCCCCACACTTGAGGGCCCCTAAAATGGCAAGGCGCTCATATTCAAAGATTGAGTTCTTGCTCTCCGGGGTTACGCGAGCGTTGACGAGTGTGGCTGACC